TTTTTTTAAAAAATCATTCATTTATCTGGCACAGGGTCTCCCTACATAGCTCAGCTCAGACTCATAGCGATGCTCCTGCCTCAGCCCAGTGCTGCCATCACAGGCGTGCACTGCCACGCCCGGCTTCAGTGGCCAGCACAGCATGCCCAGGGCGCCCGGGCACAGAGTGCTGGTGTTTCCTAACGCTCCGTCCTACGTATGTCTCCAGTGGCGGCTAGGAAGCACTGTGTGGTTTTGCACTGTGGGATCCCTAGTTACTATTGGTCCCTAAATACTTTATCTCTAGTATGTCAACTACTCTTTTTTAGTTTCCTAAGTATATGTCCTAGGTTGCTATATGTAATTTCACAAGGTTGTAGTCAGGAGCAAAAGCAATGAGGTAAACACGTTTTGTGATGTGAAGAAGCCCCACAAAGTCTCTGTGAGCATTAGAAGAACCACAAGTGGCTGAGAAACATGAGCTTCTGTTGACTTAATTACAGACACTAAGCCAGCCTCAGGTTGCAGTTGGAATGTTTCTGTGCTGCAGAATTACAGACATAGATTTATGTGACAGTTAATTTTTCTGCTTACCCAATGTCTGTTTCACTTCTTATTTAATTTTTGTTTTTGTTTAAGAAGCTGCCGAACACCTATTTTTCACGATTCTGGTATTTATTGTATTTTTGCATGTAGACTTTAAGTTTTTCAGAAAGTTATATCGATCATCACAACAAGAATGCCAATCACGGGGGCCACTGACGAGGATGAGCTGGAAAGAAAAGCACCCAGTGAAAGAAGAGCTTCTTTTTTTTTTTTTTTTTCAGAGTTTTATTGATAAACAGATAGCAATGAAACAGTTTCAAATCTAATCGGAAGTACAGTTTCAACAAATAACACACTGCATATATTCTTCTCAGTGGTTAATTGCTGTACAAGATGCAGACTTGTGATCCTATTTACAAACACCATTAGAACAAATCATTCTATTCATTAAGAGAATGCAACTATATATCTATCCCAACCACTTTGAATACACAGATATAAAATGGACATTCATCGGTATACCCCATTTTTTCTAAGTTCCGTTATTGAATATTATAGGTGTGTAAACTCAGCAAAATATTCTGAAAGAGTCCAGTAGCCCATAATAGCATTGGGTCTTCTGTTTAACTGGCAATGTCAGAAATTATTGACCTGAGTCCCCCACAGAAGAGCTTCTTTTTAAAGTTGATAGTGAACAAAATATTTATATTTACTGACTGGTGAAAAAAATGGAATAAATTTGGAGTCTTATAAGAAAAAATGGCAAGCTTACCAAGGATACTAGCAAAAAACAAGTCTTCATGCATAAAGACTGTGTGTTTCGGGGCTGGGAAGATAGCTCAGTGGCCCAGCACCTGCCTGGCAAGCATGAGACCCTGAGCCCCCCCAGGAGACCCCCCAATTGTATGTTTCAGGCTCTGGATGACCTGAAGACCTAGCAATGAATACACGTGTGTGATTGATAAAATTGATTATGTCAACTTGAGTGGCATTGGTGGGTTACACTTTTTGGTGTGCCTGGGTGGGGCATGGGAGTGTGGCAGTGGGCACTTTTTCTAGTTTCTTGCCCCTTCCACTCTGGCATACTTTCTCCTGCTTCCTGGCTCCCATGAGCCAAGACTCTTTGCACTGTCATGCCCTTCTGTCATGATCTTTGTCCCTTAGTATCTGCCATGGACTAAATCTCTTGAAACTATGATCCAAATTGTAGCTTTGCTCCTTTCATCTGTGAGTGTTGGGTGCTGTGTCCAGCAAGGGGCAGCTGACCAATACAGTGCGGCTCTCAGGAGTGCTGGGGCTTCCTTGAGGCACGTGTATACCTCAGCCTCATTAAAATAAAACTGGAGGACTGGAGAGATACCTCAGTAGAATAAGCACTTGCCTGGAAAGCACAAGGGCCTGAGTTTAATCCCCAGTTCTGCCAAAAAATAAATAAATAAATAAATAAATAAGTGTAGTAACAAAAAAATTTTATTTTTTTTTTAAAATGTATTTGGTACAGGGTCTTACTATACAGCCTGGACTCATGGTGATCCTTCTGTTTCACCTTCCCCAGAGCTGGGATTACAGTGTGTGCCACCATGTCTCATCTGGTGGCCGGCTCAGCACACCTGGGGATGGAGCTGGTGCAGTATGTAGTATAGGGGATCGAACCCTGGTCCCTCTGCTTGCCTAAGGAGGTGCTTATTTCATTCTTTTTTTAAAAAGAAATTTTATTTTATTATATTTTATTTTATTTTTTGCTGTACTGGAGATTGAACTCGGACCCTGCGCCTGCCAGGCAAGTGCTTATTCTACTAAGCTATCTCCTCAGCCTTTATTTATTTATTTATTTATTTATTTATTTATTTATTGTATTTAGTACAGGATCTCACTAAGTAGATCTGACTTCCAGTGCTTCTCCTGTTTACAGCCTCCCAAGTGCTAGGATTATAGGTGCGCGCCACCACTCCCAGTCTCAGTCGCCCACTCAGCGTGCCCCTGGGGCGGAGCTGGCGCTGCACGCCAGGGGTCAAAGCCCAGCCACTGCACTCTGCCTACGCAGGAGCCCTAGTCTGCTGAGCTATCTGGCCGGCCCAAAAAGTTTCATTCTTAATGAAAACTTTTTCATCAGTAAGATTCAAATTAACTACAGTGACTTTGCGTTCCCTTAATAGTTTGAGATAAAGACCACATTTTAGAACATGATGAAACTACTAATAAAAATTCAAAAGGCCTTTCACTAAGAGAAGTCCCATTACTCGAAATGAGTGGCGGTCAGGGGTTTCAGCCACCGCATGTGCCGTATATGTGAAGTACGCTCCACACAGAAACTGGGAAGTCACCTTCATGCTGCCCAGTGTGGGACGGGAAGCTAGGACTGGAGACGGTAAGGAGATTTTGCTTACACAACCACGGGTCAAATAAGAGTCCTTCGAAGGGAAGGCTCAGACAATTTGAAGGCCTGGTCAATGATGTAAATAAAATCAAAGTGACAAGGAAAGTATCTGCATGGACAGATGCGGATGGATCTTGGGAAACGTGTCACATTCTATTGAAGGCATAACTCAACATACTGAGAAAAATTTAGGTCTGAATGACCTGAGACAACACTACACACAAGAACAAAAAAATCTTTTGGAAAAAAAGTTATCCTGGGCATAGAGAACAGGCCAAAGGTGGAAGGACTGCGGCTGTAGACAGCCTAGCCGCCACACAGGCAGTGCGGGAAGCGAGAAGTAAGCAGAGAGAAGACGCGGAGGCAGCAGCCTCAGTGCTAACAGAGGCAGCGTGGAAAGGCCTAGTGTTTGTTGCCAGATTTGTCAGAGTTAGGAACTCCATGAACGCGTTCTCCAGACTTTAGATCTGTCCTGAATGTCGCTCTCAGTGATTTAGAACACACACATCAATCAACAATCTGTGTCTGAGCTGGACCGAAGTGGGCCTGGTGAGTCAGTCTTTGTCGTGATTCTCGGAGAAAGGAGTTCAAGCGAATACACTGACGTGCACTGGGAAGACTGGGCTTCCACAGCCGGTGCGACATGGCTTTGGGTCCTCACTTTCCTGGGTGACAAGATTTAATTGAAGGAAGCCATGATGCAAACAAGCTAAGTTTGAAATGAGTTGTTTGTCTAGTAAAGAACGAGTTTGACCCTCCTTGCTGGTGGAGTAGCACAGGATATTAATACCAAGAAAAAAGGAAGGTAGACATGAAAGGCGCGAGGCTGTAGTGCTTCCGTTACAGCACAGGGTTTTGTTTGTTTTTAGTGTGTTTGGTACGTGGTCTCTCTCTGCAGCTTGGCCGCCCCCTGTTTTCAGCGTCCTCAGCACTGGGATTACAGGGGTGCACCACCGTGCTGGGTCTCAGTGGCCGGCTCAGTGCACCTGGGGGTGGGGCTGGCACAGCGCATGGTGCCTGGGATTGAACCGGGGTCCTTGTGCTTGCCTAAGCAGGTGCTTAGTCTGCTGAGCTATCTCGCCAACCCTCATCACAGGATGTTTTGATGAGAAGTCCTGAAAAAAACCATAGTAACACCAAATAACATCCCAGAAGAAGAAACTAATAGTGTGGTTATGGAATTCTACCTGCCTGCTTAGTTTCAACAGTACTACCTCAGTCCTTCAGATGGAAAGGGGACCTCAAGAATATGCCAGACACCTTTCCTCTGTGGGTCACCTCATTCTCTTCGTCTTTAAGGCCCTTTACTTCCCTGACAACCACAAGATTCTGCATAGAAGACCCCCCTTTAAAAAAAAATTATGTATTTGGTACAGGGTCTTACTACACAGGCTGGACTCCTGGTGATCTTCCTGCCTCTGCCTCCCCAGTGCTGGGATTACAGGAGCACACTACCGCTCCAGGTTTGGGTGGCTGGCTCGGCACACCCAGGGCTGGGCCAGGGGATCTAATCTGGGTCCCCATCTTGCCAGGCAGATGCTTAGATCACTGAGCCATCTCTCTGACCCAAGACCCCACATCTTTTCATTATTGTGATATATTCTTAGACTACTATAAATTAGAATATGTATTTGTGTACACATTTGTTTAGTCTACTTATATAGTGTCACATCTTTTAGGGGTCGGCGAGATAGCTCAGTGGTCTAAGGCCCTTCTGAGGTAAGCTTAGCAGGCACAGGGTACCACATGCTGTGCCAGCCCTGCCCTCAGGGTGGGCTGAGCTGGCCAAAAAAAAAAGGAGTAAACATCTTTTAATAGCCAGTGTTAATCAAAGTGTGTTTTGAATAATGGTAATTTCTCAAGGGAAGTGGGAATATATTGTATAAGGATCATCCAGAATACAAATGTAAACTTTGTTTCTCTTGTTTAAATTTTGAAAGGAAGGTAGATGGAAACATTTAGGGTTGACTTTCTGAGTACTACATCTTGGGAATTCGCAGGAATGTAAATGTCTGATTTCTTTGAAATAATTTCTGCCATGATTTCAGATCAACTAGATGTGGCTGCTCTAAGTTTTTTTTGGTTTATTTTTTTACAGCTTGTCTTGGCTCTTTCCGAGCTGGAGTATTTACTGCTGCACGTCTGTCCACCAACGCTTACCCAGACCTAAGGAGCTGCATCACTGGTTAGTACCTCTGCCACACATTCAAACGGTGAAACAAACTAGAAATCCTGCCAGCAAAACTATTTAATAGAAATTGATGCTGAAAACTCAACAAGTGAATTCTTGAAGGATTGTGTCCCTGGCAAGGAAGTGTTTTCCAACTCCGTATGAAAGACTGTCATTCAATTTTTTTGTCACTCATTTGTAAATGCTGCACTTTTACTCCAAAAAAGAAATTTTCGCTAAGGTTTGAGCTGAATAGTGTTCCTTGTCAACTCTAGGTCATTAACTTCAGAAACTGTATTTCCAACTGGTTTGCTCTGGCTGTTGTTGCAAAATTATATAGTATGTCTGTAATGGTTGATCTATTTGTCAACTTGAGAAGATTGGAAATATAATTAAGCCACTTAGCCAGGAGCCAGGGTTCCCCCTCTGTAAACACCTTCATCCTGTGCGAGAGGAGGAGGGTGTGGAGATGGCGTGAGCACTATGCCCACCCTAGGGGAGGGGGACAGCTTGCTCACGGTGTAAGCGACGAAAAGGAGCTTCCAGCCCCTCCCCTTTTGCTCTGGCTGCTTCTGTTGTCTTCTGCCACCTTGAGCTGTTGCCCCTCACTACGTCACCCTGCCTTGGAGCCAGCTGAGTATGGACTGAAACCTCCACAAGCTGTTAGCTCAAGAAACCTTTCCTCCCTTAACTCTGGGATCAGGTAGTTTGTCTCAGCAACAAGAGAAAAGCATCTAACCATATACAACCTTGACATATATATATATGTATGTATATATATTTCACTACAAAATGATTTGACATTGAGGTGATTTTTTTTTTTTTTTTGGCATTGAGATTTTAATAGAAGGTATAATTAACAAGTTTTTGTGTAATAACCTAGGATCTGTGGATGGGTTTTAGCCTGTGAGTCCCCTAAACTAATATGTAGAAGTTTGGGTATTTGCGTTTTTATTTTCTACTCTTCATCATGATAATGTATTTTTCTATATGGTGCAATATTTAAGGATTTATTTTTGATTGAAACAGATACCTGTTTATCTCAGTACCATTTATTAAACATTCTCCCATTGGAAAAAAAAAAAAAAAAAGAGGAGGACTGGGATCTTGCCAGTGTTCTCTCTGACGGCTTCTGTGTCATGGAGTGTTTTCAGCCCGGCTAGTTACAGTGAACCGTGCGTAGTGCAAAGTGAACTCTGGAACCGTCCTGTGCCGATCCTCGGGCCGGAGAGCGCTGCAGGCCGTCTCCGGCTCCTTCCACACAGGCCTCTCATCTTCTGACGGGCAAAATCTTAGTCTGGCCTCTGCAAGCTGCACTGTTGGTCTTCGTACCCTAGAGAGATCTTGAGGGCTCCCCAGGTGTACGCTGTGGCCTGAAACAGTCCCCAGGCAGTGATGTGACCCGTGTTTATTCCTTCCCCGTGGGAATCATGGCTTTCTCTAATGTTTGAAAACAATTATTTCACATATATATGTGAAATATGTATATGTACTTTATTATTAAATATCATGAAATATATATATATATGTACTTTATTATTAAATAAGATGGCTAAAGGACTATGTAGATGAAGAATACAAGAGCATACGTTATTTAATCCAGGAGGGTAAATCTGTTTGCAGTTATTCCACCATACCCCAATTTAGAAGGACCTAGTGATTTTTTAAAGTCAAGTTTGTTTCATGTCTCTTATTCATGGGATTATTTTAGGTTTAAAAAAAGATAATACATTTCTACAGTATGGTTACAAAGCATTGTATATGTACCATGTAAGAGTGGTGTCCTTTTACAAAATAATTATAAACATTTGTGAATAGATTCTCATTTAATGAAAAAAGTATTAGATGGAAGAAGTCATTTTTTTCCATCAGTTATAGGCTTCATATAATAATTTTTTAGAAAAGGGAAAATATTATTATTTCACCACAACATAAAGTAAACATTAAATAGATGTCTGTTTCCTTCAGCTATTCCAGACCAATGTGATCCTCTACCATGCAACAAAGACGGGTACATGAGCTGCAAAGATGGCCAAGCTGCGTTCACCTGCGTCTGTAAGCCAGGCTGGCAAGGAGAGAGGTGTGAATTCGGTACGTACAGTCAACCCACCTGGCTCATCTGGGTTGGCCACATGGAAACTTCTCTGAGTTTTTTTTTTTTTTTTTTTTTTAATGTATTTGGTTGCTACAGCTCAGACTCATAGTGATCCTCCTGTTTTCAGCCTCCCCAGCACTGGGATTACAGGCGTGCACCACCATGCTGGGTCTTGGTGGCCGGCTCTGCATGCCCCGGGGGTGGGGCTGGTGTGACATGTGGTGCCAGGGATTGAATTGCGTTTCCTGTACTTGTCTAAACAGTGCTTTAGTACCCTGAGCTATCTCTCCAGCCCTGAGGTTTACATTAAAAATAATTTTTTCCCTTTTTTAGATATAAATGAATGCAAAGATCCCTTGAATGTAAATGGAGGCTGCAGCCAGATTTGTGACAATACACCTGGAAGCTACCATTGTTCCTGCAGAAGTGGTTTTGATTTGCTTTCAAATAAAAAAGACTGTAGAGGTAAGAGCAAGAAATTAGAATAGGATAAAATAAATTAGAATAAAAATGTATTTGCTGTGTGAAAGCAGAATTCAGTTAGAGGAATTGCTGCAGGGATTCCTGGAACGTTCTGCTCATGAGTATTTATAATAATTCAAATTTTCATCCACTTTGAAGTCCTATGATAGATATAGTGGGAAGTAATTCCTTTGGTTTGTAATACTGACAAAAAGTGTTTTATTGTTTTCCCATTATGTGTGTGGGAAGGGGTACTTGTGTGTGTTTTAGTAAAATATTTTGTTATAAGTAAATATAAATAAAATATAAAGTATATTTGTAAATATAAATAAGTATATATTTAAAATGAGACTTCACTTCCTTATAAAGAACTGAACAGTACTTTATAGTTTACTCTAATACTCTAAAACTCACATACAGTTAAATGATTCTGAAGTGAACTTCATTTACTAAAACTACTTTCCAAACCATTATCTTTTTAGTGACCATATATCTTTCTCATCTGGCTATTTGAAAATCTAAGTTTGGGTATTTAGAATAGTTGGATCATTTAAATACCAGTTGTAGAAAACTATTATCATTATTGATACCATATGCATTACATGGATAAATAATGCCCATTCTGATTTCTACATTTATGACTTCAAAATTAAAAAAATGTTCAATCTTTTCCCCTAATAATAGGCACATGTATTTAATTATGAAAAAATCTTCTTCTTAAAATAGGAAGATCCCTGGTGACCAGAACATGTGCTCTTATATTCTTCATTTACATAGTCCTTTAGCCATGATATGTAATAATAAAGTACAGAGCTTTTAGGAATACATGTTTAAAGTTATTACAACGGGACATTTGCCAAGATGAGGATGTGCAGAGGATCACATTGCCAGTAATTGTCAAAATATGAAAGAATAAAATGTTTCATCAGATATTTGATGTCGGTTTAGATTCCTAAAGTCTTATTATAAGCTAAGTTAATATGGTCTGTGTGTTTCTTTGCAATATTCCCCAAGTTTGAAGAATATAGATTTTATAATTCTTTTTGAAAATTGAAAGCTTATTTTGATTAGTCACGTTAAGTTCTAAGAAGCAATAGGGAGAGATCACAAATAAGCCTTTACCTCCACGGTAACATTTAATATTTTTATTATATAACATCACACTCAAAATATTGACATTGATACAGTCAAGGTACAGGAATAGTCCTTCATCGCAAGGAACTGATTCCACTAGCTTTTGTGTGTGTGTGTGTGTGTGTGCGTGTGTGGTACCAGGGATTGAACTCAGGACCTTGCGCTTGCCAGGCAAGTGCTTATTCTACTGAGCTATCTCCCAGGCCCTAGCTTTGTACAAGTTGTTGTTGTTATTATTATTATTATTATTATTATTATTATTATTATTATTATTTAATGTACTTGGTTGTTACAGGGTCTCACTATTAAGTCAGATTCGTAGTGATCCTCCTGTTTTTCAGCCTTCCCAACGCTGGGATTACAGGCACACGCCACCAAGCCCAGTCTCAGTGTACTGGCCCCTGGGATGGGGCCAGTGTGGCATGTGTTGGGGATCGAACCCTGCTCCTGCTCCTACCTAAGCTTGCCTAAGTAGGCGCTTTAGTTTGCTGAGCTATCTCACCGGCCCTGTGCAAATTATGTTAAACAGAATAATGTTTGAAATTGTAGCTAACAATCTGTGGGGAAAATACCTGCCAATGTTTTTAGAACATAAAGTACATTTTCTATTCTGAATTGTCTTTCTGTTCACACAGATGAGAAATGTTCATTAATAGTTACATTCCCTCTGTTGTGATCACTTGCTTCTCCCCTCCTCGGTGCTTACCTAAAGGTGATCATAAGCAGTACTTTGTCCGCATCTCCATGATGTAGCATAATAAATGTGTCTCGCGTTTTTGAAGAGTTAATGGGTCACTGAAATTTATATTGGATCAACTGCAGCTACATAAGCACTTTAATCTGGAAATGTGAATTACTCTTCAATACTTAGCAACAGTAATGAGGAACCGATCAGAGACTAGAACTCAAGTGCTGATCGAGGGCAGGCGTAAGAGGCTGTTTCCAAAGAATCAGGGTGAAGTCCATGAGCCTGCTAAGTTTTTCTTCACATAATAAGAAGAGAATATATGTTTAAGATCATACTCCAGAAACTTGTGCTTGGAAGTACACTTGGAGAATACTGAGAAGGTAGTTGAGTCTCTTCTTCCATCTGTTTTCATACTCTGACCTGGTAACTAAGAAAATCACTAGAGCCCTCTTTTTTATGATGATAAAGGGACATGATAAACATCAGTCGAGCTTCCTATGTACGTATAGAGAGAAATACTTTTGTGTTCCAAGCCTAGTCTCATATCTCATTATACATAATAAGCATAGTCCATGAAAAAGGGATAGTATCCCTTGGTAGAATATATTGGTATTGGAAAAAATTTAAAACATACTGGTTTCATTTATAGATGTGGACGAATGTGCTAGGAAGCCAAATGTTTGTGGCAAAGCCGTGTGCAAGAACACGCCAGGAGACTACGTGTGTGAGTGCCCTGCGGGCTACAGATACAACCCCGAGACAGGGGCCTGTGCAGGTATGGCGGTGCTGGGGTGACTGCCGCTGCCGGGGAGGGCAGTTCTTGGTCCCTTAGTGTTGTTTAAGAGCATGGTTTTGTTTGACACCGACAGTCATATTTCCTAATCTCTGATATAGCTTGATCAATTTGGTAGTCACTGGCGACCTTCCACAGGATGAGTGGTTCCCACAAATGGTCTCTCATTCAATGTTGGTGTACACGGTAGCCCTTTAAGTTACTTACCAGCAGGAGAGCTCCATATGGAAGTGAAGCCAGAAAAACACACTTTCACATCCCTGCAGTAACACTGGGTGACGAAGAACATTTCAGTCTAAAAGCAAAAGCACATAGATACAAAAGAAAGATGCGACGGTAAATCACTTCACTTAGCATTAACAGGTGACAGCCCATCTTAGAGAGCTGAGAAATCCTGATCAGTAATCCTCCCGGAGGGGCAGCTCTCAGCACGCGAGGCACCAGTGCTCCCATGTGGGCCTTGGGTAGCTACAACATGCGAACAGACTTTTGGTTTTCAAATATATAAGTTACCTATGACTTCCCTTTAAGTATTCCAAAGTGAATTTAATATGCTGTCCAAAATTAATCACATCAATATGTTTCTTTTTGTATAATAATATATAACACATACTGTACATTGTAACCAATTTTAATTATACAGTTCGGTAGCACCAATTACATTCATATTGTTGTGCAGCCATCGCCTGTTCCCCAAATGTTTTTATACCCCCCACTATAAGCCCTGTGACTGGGAAGCCTTTTATGACTTACCTTACCCTAAGTGCCCCCTGGTAGCCTGTAATCTATTTTCATGTCTCTGTGTATTTGCTTAAATCAGCAATCATTTTATTTATTTTTATTTTTTAATGTATTTGGTTGTTACAGGGCCTCACTACACAGCTGGACTCGTAGTGATCCTCCTGTTTTCAGCCTCCCCAGTGCTGGGGCTCCAGGTGTGTGCCACCACTCCCAGACTCTTTTGCTGGCTCAGCGTGCCCCGGGTGCAGGGCTGCGTGGCATGTGGTGCTGGAGATCAAACCGTGGTCTCTGCGCTTGCCTGAGCAGGTGCTTTAGTCTGTAGCTATGTCGCCAGCCCCAGCAGCAGTAATTTTAGAATAGATTTTCTCCAGCTGTTCGTGCTCTTGAAATTTCGCTCTGACCTGCCTGCCTACCCCCCCTGGCCCCCACACATACCGTTTCTACTCTTCTACTCCTCCTGGTAGCCACTGCTGTGGCAAGCTCTAGGAATGTCCAGGTCTATCATAAGCCAACTTCGCCATCTACACTGAAGTTTTATTCAATGAGTGAGAGATTTCAAAAAATTATTTACATATGACTATATGTCTAAATTTAATCATGTCTCTATCATTTCAATTCATTTGAGGGATCACTAAACTTGGGGATTAATTTTATTTT